AGAGAGAGGTAAAGAAGGTCTTGATGACTCAGTTGAAACAGTCTCAGTTGGGAATGACACTTCCATAAATATCTCTGGAAGCAAAAGCCAAAGAAACCAAAGCAAACCCTTCTCTGAGACAGTGGTAAAACAAAAGAAAACATCAGCCATCAAATTGAGTGCACATTAAGTATTATTATTATTATCTCAATGTATGACATCAAGAACCTCTTAACAATCACATTAAAACAGTGGAATCCAAAAAACATTTTAATCTATTTTTGTAATGTTTTAAATGCTTTCATTTAATCACACACATGTATTGCCATGCAGGATACAGTAATATCTCAATTCGCAGAAACTCCCCCAAGAGACTTTGATAAAATATGTAGTACACAATCTTTCCAGCTGGTATATAGTAGGGATGTCCACTTAATTAAAGCTAATTGTTCAAAGTAAGCTCATCTTAGTTCTCCAAACGTGATAAAAGCAAACACAGAGGTGGATCCGCCCATCGTCTGATGTCAAAGCTGGTTCCAAATGTGTCGTCCTGGCAGGTCTACAGTACACTTTGAGTCTGGCTCCAGATAAAACAGTCAAACACGCAGATAGATTTCCTATACTTGCTGTCTGCCAGGCCGGTTTCCTGGACATGCGAACAGCATTAGAGGAGAAATGGGGATCTGTGTTGGGAAATGACAAGAGAACAGATCCATCTCTCCTTTTTTCTCTTTTCTCCCCGGCTTAAGAACAATCACTTTTAGCTCTTATTGGTGATTTATTATGCGGGAACGGGGCTTGCTAATTGCAATAGCACATGAAAGAGTCCTTTCTTTCCCCTCCCCATGATTGCAGATCAACCCCAGGCCCCAGACCTAAGCGACATTGGCTGGTTCTTGCTGTGAATGCCCCAAATCCAACAACACACTTGGGCTGTGCCAAATCCCTGTTCCACAATGTGTTTGATTTCCTCTCTGTTGAAACAAAGAACACAGGTTTTTGAAACAACCAAAGGGTTAGTAACTAAGGTGTGAAAAAACGATATCCCCTCAATGCCTGGATATACCTGTGCCATAATGTTAAACCATTCCTGTGTACTGTATGTGCAAATAAACTGTTGTGCCTATTTTCACACAGAAAAAGGGTGTTTGGCCTTTGTAAGTGTGTGTTTCCAAAGACTGCACTGCATGGGTGTATGTGTGTGCAAATGCACGGTGACAATTAGCTTGAACCCTGCAGAGCCAACGGCATTGTGATGACCTCAGCCACAAAGCACACTCTTGCTCAAGTATCACATGGAATGGCACATGCCTCTTGGTTCTGGGCTGACCTGCCTACCTGCCCGAGGAAAGGCTGTTGGCCAATCCCATTTCCAGCAGATTAACCTAATCTGAAAGTTCAGCTCACCCTGTAATCTCAAACAGCAGCAGCAGGGACCTGCCTCACCACCCATCCTCAACTAATTTCTCTCCCTTCTTTTCTCCTTCTCTTCCTCTGCCTTCACCTAGAAGGAACTATCGAGTGAGAATGAGAAGGGGAAGGGGAGGGACAGAGGGATGGATGAGTGCAAGAATAGGAGGGAGGGAAAGAGGGATGGAGGGAGGAAGGCTGGTAATTATTTCCAAAGGTCATTCTGTTAATGACTACCCGCTTGGCTAATGAGATTCAGCAAAGCTCCCTCACCATGTTTCACCCTGCGTATGTTTCACCCGTGTGCTGAGATGTGTGAGAAGCACAGGTGTGATTTCAGCCCAGTGACAGTCCACTGGAGGGAGGGAGGGAGGGTGGTAGAGAAAGGAGGGGTTGGGGGCTGGGGTGAAAATGATAAAACATAAAGAGAAAATAAATCAAGCAGGTATGTCTGGGAGATGGCAAAGAGAAAACGAGTAATGAAGCGCAACCACACCAGTTCACTTCATGCCTTGCACAATGCTTCAATTGGCAATAAAATATCATTGTCCACACATAAAGAATACTACAGATATTCTTTCAGATTATTTCACTGTCATGTACCTTAAAAATTCCGTTCTTTATTAATTTAAACCCTCTGCTTTCTCATAATATTCTCGCAAGTCAACACAACATGTGATCTCCCCCTCTGAAGTGCCAGTGTGCTCGTGTTCTGTCGCGCTCTTGTGAAAATATTTTCCAGCATGTGTGCTATTCTGTATGCTTATTTGGTTTCTAAACAAGCATGGAGAACATTAGCCTTAAGGAGTTTTCTGTGTTGATCAGGCCACTGAATGACTTCTTCTCATGGCCCTGAAACCCTGTATAATTACTCTGGCCTGAATGCCTTCTTTAATTTATCCTGTACGACTTTAACATGTGTCAGCATCCAAAAGAAATAAGGGCGTCAGGTCATATCTCCTGCCTTACAGTTGTCCATAGTCATTTTGTGGAGAGTCGTTTAGAGGTTTTCATGTTTCATGTGGTGTAACTTGGAGGTAAGGGGTGGGGTAGTCAAATAGATCACAGTACCTCAGTGTTTACTGGCGACAGAGATCAGCAACTTGACTTGTTTTTCCCCGTGAGCTGAGAATTAAGGTCTGAAGCTGCTTTGATTGACTAAGCAAATGAACCTTGTGACATTGGAAAGCTAACAGTATCAGTTTGATAAAACAAAGACTCTGATGGCAGTCTGTGTACACGCCACAGCACATTTTTTAAAAGATATTAGTTATAACATGGAGTGGAGAATTACGTGTTGAAGAGTGGGTGACAGAAATCGGATAGCTGTTAGTAACTTTTCCCACACCTCTACCCATGTATTTACAGTGTTAACAATAATGGAAAAGTTGGCCCTTAAAGTCCTTCACAGAGTTACAAACAAGCTTTAAGGTTGGTAGAAACTATTAACAAGCTACAACATATGATATATATAGTGTGTGTGAAACCTCTTTCCGGTGTTCAAAGTGTGGTGAATTCCACAAACAGAGGCAAACCTTTGTCCTCCTCCTCTTCCCGTCTCCACCCGCCTCACCTCTTCGGTTTGGACTTGAAGCTTCCAGATAATTGTTTGTTGTATTGCATAGAAAAGGGCGTTGACAAAAATCAAGGCAAAACACGTGTACACATTTAGTTCCTACATTTCTTTTTTTTCTTTTAACATAAACAATATATAATGATATGTTAAAAATAAAGAACGAACCCCCAATAAAACCACCAATATCACTCATTTGTTTGATCTACGATTAAGTGCCTCAAAAAGTGGTAGTGGTCTAAAAATAGTGTGTGGTGAAGCTAAAAATAGTCGCCTAGCTGGCGGTCCTTGCTCGAGAGGGTAGAAGAATAGGCATGGAATATCTCTCTCTCTTTCACTCCCCCCTCTTTGTGTTTCAAACAGGGTGGGTGGGGGTTGTTTTTGAAACTATGGAGTGAGTAAGCGAAGTGTCAAGAGTACTCATTCAGCCTCCGTCTCCCTTTCCAAGTAGCGACTTGCCCTCGGCGACCACATGCATAAGACCATTGATCTGAGACCCCGCTGTGCCTATAAACATTTGATCCCTTGGATAAAGAAGTCTATTATTTAATTTACTTGTTTATCTACGCCCCATATCTTAGCAAACAAGAGGTTTCCTGTCTGGTTGTTTACGAAACATTTTATAAAAGACAAAATACATTTCTGGCAAGTTATATTATCTATGCCAATAGCATTAAGAGCATTTTGAATCAGCCAGTCTGCCTATGACACGAGTGAAAATGCTGTCACAAACATATTAGTCTCCTCACACGGCTGAACCCCGTCTGCTCCAAGTTTCAAGCTGGCACATGAGAACACATCTGTCTGCGGCGCCAGCCTCAGACATAAAGAGAGCAAGTTTACTGAGGTCCTATTTTATAGACTATATGCCTCTTCCACTTCTTAAGACTGGCTAAAAGCAAGATGACAGATAAAGTATGTGATCTACGGGCTCAGCATTATATTCCACATCAGACGGCCGCTGCCCAGAAAAGCAGAACCTCAGACGAGCAACTAAGTACCACTTGGATCTCCGTCAGAGGTGTTTCTTAAGGTCAATATACTGAAGCGGAAGTCTGAGGTACTCACAGAACAACAAGAAGAGGTTTTATAAATAGACTGTTTGAAATGTGCCAATATGTGGTCCCTGTGGTGTGGAGCGGTGAAAAAGGCAGGCCACTTCTGAGGCCACGCTGCCAAATGCAAGGGTTTTCCATTACACAGCCCAAAACAATTCACGCCAGCCATTAAGATGAAATGATGCCTTGTTCTTTGAAACTATTTGTGGAAAATTCAGAATAATGAAGGCTATTTTTATAGATGGCATTCCCTGCCCTGCCTGGAGCTTCCCCCCTGGCCTCAGCCCCTCCCATGCCATGATTGCTGCTTTGGACAGGGTGTGGAAACTCAAGGTCACACTATAGAGGTCAACCGGCTGGACATTGTTACTCAAGGCCTCCCTCAGGCTCCCTTTTCCTGCTGTGGCACCACGCGATAAGAGACAGTGAGACAAAAGACGATAAGTGACGATTGGTGGGGGGACAAAGAAGGAACAGAGCGTGGCTGGAGGAGTACTTGAAGTTTTACACATAGAGAACTGAAGTGATTTTTCTGAGGATGTTACAGTGTTTCTATTTGATAATGACTTAATATAAGCAATTGAAGGCCTTATTGTTAATGTTACAGTGCTGTAAAATAGTGGTGCGTGAATAACTGAAACAAACTGCTCATAAAGCGTTGCAAAGTCATTGTGAGAGTATTTTCCACACATAATTGAGCCTTGGCGAATTGATTTTTATGTTGAATCAGAAATATATAGACTCATGCCCATTCATCTCATGTGAAGAGAGACAAATTATGCAACTGGAGCACAGACAGGATGAAAGATGGGTAGGTTGAGGGTACAGACATAAGTGCCCTCTTTATCCAGTTTTACTGAGCTGGCATTGTGTCTCATAATGTCTATCTGGGTAATTATACAGTGCACTGACTAGTGTGAATGACCACTTTGTTCCCAAGGCTGGGATGCTGCTGGAGCAAACAGTGTTGGATTCTGACATGTGCTTAGTGTTTGTCTATTCCATATGGGAAACACTGCACCATCTGGTATTGTGCCGTGTACTGGCTAGCTAAGACTGTCTGTCTGTTAGTGGGCTCTCATCCACACTGGGCTCTTTTTAATGGTGAATTCAGCACATGCACCATCACAATGTCACAGTTTGAAGAAATGTGAAGGAACATTAACACGCACAGTCTCTCTTACATACACTTAATCATGTTCACAAATGTTTGCTCTACTTCTTACTCGCTCTTTTTAATGTTTAGTCAATCAAGTAATCCCTAGACAGCTAGTAATTACATACTCAGTTAGCCAGCGTTACTGAACACACGACCACTTTGCCAGAGATGATGGATCCCAGGCGCCAGCCTTTGATTCCTGATTATAGTGCAGCAGGGCACCAGGAGTAAGGGGCTTCAAAGCCACCAATTCACTGAAAAGTCATTGATGCATAGTTCTTCAAACGTCGCCTCAACCAGTGCATTGGGATGCACAGATGATGACTGAAAAAAAAGAAAGGGACAGGCTGTGATTTGGGGGTCCCATTCCTCAGATCGGTAACCTACAAAATCAACCATTTCCCTCCCAAATGCTCACTCACACACACCATGTAGCCATCATCCATGGGCATGCCCCTCGACATGGTCCTGGCATGTTCAAACCACGCTTCATGAAACTGTGGCCTTCTTGCCTTTGGTCTGCCATCTGCTTCCAATAAGCTAAGCCAGCCTGATCCCTCTGATGTTCCCTCCACACTGAAAAGCACAGAGAAAGAAAGAGTGAGCGAGAGAGACAGAGAGAGTGAGGGGGAGAGACAAAAAACGAGAGCAAGTAAGATTGAGCCAGACAGACAGAAAAAGAAATAAAAGTAGAATTAAAGCGAATGAGAGCACATATCAAACATACTACTACTCCATCTATGCTGCCAGCAAGCCCACCCTGAGTGTGCTTATTGTTCAGTGGTTCTGTGGGGTCTTAATACACTGCAGGTCTACTTCATGACCACCTTCATCTTGTTATTTGTGATGAAAAGGGACAACGTTTCTCCCCACTGCCTCAGTCCCACTGACACTGAGCCAGACTGCTCTCAACCAATCTGTCTTGACAAAATTGAGTTAGCCAATAGGTTAAAGCAAGGGAGCTCCCTGATGTCCAGTGGTTTTCCAAACGTCTTCTCTTTACCCATCTTTTTCTACTTTGAAAGTCATGCTCTAAATGGGTTTGTAATTTAGTGTAAAGACCATGTCAAAAAGATGTACTGTGATAAGGTTAACCCATATATATTTTATTCAGATTATCGTACGCTGTCTGATTTAAAAAAAAACTGAATTATTATTGTAGCCCTACATTTTACAGCAGATTACATTTTCTTAAAGATTATTTGAGAGTCTTTTAAATTCTATTGTGATTCAGTCTTGGGTCTTAACATAAACTAGCTACTGAGAAGACTGTAGTGCCCACTGTAGATGCACTCCCTGGTTACACTCAACCTACACACATTCTCAGACATTATGAACACAGGTCTGTATAATTTGCATACTGTCGTTTCTTCAAGGAGCGATTCTGATAGTCAGAGTGAATTAATCTGTTCTGTACACTTTTTAACATTGTGATAAACAGAGGCTGAGACCCTGTCAGGCAAAGCTGTTTATTCCAGTACAATTGTATTATACTTTAACAGCACAGCAAACATTATTAACCATAAGTGGCACCGTTATAAATGCTTTTATATTCTGCTTGTCTGCAACTTGTTTTCCATCGACTGCTGCAATGCACTGCAAAACCATAAAATGCTCCATTTATTGGGGGAAATCTTTGTGCTCTAGTACTATAGTGTCTTCTTGTATAAGTCTTGGTTTTGCTTACAATGGTATGTGTATTCTGAAGACCATACAATGCTGGCAAATATATAAAAGGGCTATTATAAACTGGCTGTTTTTGTTGAGGGTTTTTTCACTGATGCTGTCAGCCATTGGGTTGAAGACATTGAGAAACATTCACTGGCCTGGCCGTCGCCAATAGCCATAAACACAATATTGAATGTGTCGTACCCTTCAACCACTGCCAAAATAACTGCAGAGGGGAATGGTCAGCAATAAAGTTCTTTCCAAACACAACCCATCCACTAGCCCGAGTCTTTCAGAAATAAAGATGTAGCCATCAAGCCAACAATGTTTTGATTCAGCTTCTGTTGAGCCGTGGTATTATTGCAGAAAATGAGGAGAAGAGGACAGTGGTAGGGAGACAGAGACAGACTGAGCAGCAGGACGAGACAGAAAGAAGGGGGCAGAAAGATGGATAGAGAGGGTGAGCAGGGTGGCAGAATGCCGAGCAGACGGATCCTGGTATGGAAGGGGCTCTGGGCAGGCGTCAGCTGTCCCTGGCAGACCCCCTGGGGCCACCCAGAATTCACACCCAAATACCCTCCACAGTTTTTCTCAAGAGCGACATGAAGTTATTACCCACACCCTAAACTATGAAATTAGTATAAGGCTGGACCTTTTCCTGCAATTAAAACATCAGAGAACTCAAATCTTTGACAGATGTACTAACACCAAGCAATATATTCAAGACAAATCAGTTCCCCTGTAGCTCATTCCTGCTTCTAGTAGCTTCTATTATCTTCATAATCCAGCCCAGGTTGCCTTGCTAAATGTAGTAATACAGCCCATCTTAGCCCAGCTCGGTGTAGGCCAGCCTAGCTGAGGGTGCAAAGCTGAAGGGTACCAATGAGACGGGTGTCTAAATATGTAGGACACTGTGTCTATGCTGTGCCTGCTTCACACAGGCCCTGTGACAAGTCAACTCATGAGGGAGCATCATGAAGAAGGAGTTTAATTAGGAGCAAGCCTCCAAAGGGGCCACGGAGAAAGACACTGAGACGAGCAAGCATACACAGATTTCTTTGCAGTTTTCCTCTCTGTAATACGTTTTCTCCTTTCTCTTCTTTTACTAAACTCAATGTCTGTACCAAGACTTCGCATTGTAGTAGTTTATAGCTTGTTATTTTCCCATCAATCTTTCCCTCTTATGGACAGTTTGCTTACTTCATGTCATAACATAACATTTAAAACAGCAGGAGCAAGGGTAAAGGATATGTTAATGTGGTTCTTAGTTCTAAGGTAATTAGGTAAACTGACATGTCAAAAAGATGATTGGGTAAGAGTAAAAAAACACTTGTATGTAAAACAGAGGCAATACAATTGCTACAAACTTAGTTAATGATCAACAAACAAGTTTTCCTTGTATGACAGCAGTCATTTTGTAAGAATAAAAAATAATGAGCATTTCCATGTGATATCAAAAACCCCAGTTACTTGTGAAATTTAGTTAAAAAAGAATCGAAATGTGTGGGAATATTTTGTTCATAGAATTATTGGCACCGAAGTGTTTTCGTTTAATCCTCATCCTATTAACATATTCCCCAAAGACTCTATTTTGATGCCATGCTCTTCATACCCAGGGTAAGGGTAGCAGCCTCTTTTCCAATGATCATTATTCTCTACTTCATTTTGAACTGTATGTTTGTGATGTGTTCTTTCATATAGTCATGATGTCACTGAATAACAGACTCCAAGCCATTTTTGGAGCAGCCTTCGATGACTTTTTGGCGCAGAGCCATGAAACACAACACATTGAGGGCACAGATTAAGCAATGGGCTATTAAAGAAGGGGAAAACATATAGGATGACGAGAGTAGGGCGGTGAGGTGGAGAGCGCAAGAGGGCCCTTCTATGGCTATATGAGCACTCCAACAGATCTGATTGGTTGTTGGGTTGTGTGTCAGTCTTTGGCAACAGGTGTGATGTCTTAAAACAGGTGGGCATAACTGGGATGAGCAGCATACCGTCCTTGTACCCAACCCTCAATGTGCTGAGCCCCTGGGTCACATGCTTCAAAGTCATATAACACTCAAGCTCCCTGCACCCAATCAACACCCAACGCAACCGCTGCCCAACCCCCTGCGAGACCACCAGCTCAGTTTCCCCCATTTGGGTGTCACCTTTACCCAAGCCCTAGTTCTCGTCTTCCAGCAATGCCCCTCTGCTAGTCTTCCTAGAATGGAAGTGAATCCCTCATGCACACTCTGTGCTGGCGGGGGTAGGTGGAGGAAAGCTGTGCAAGTAGGAAGAAAAGTTCTTTCTTGCATGCATTCTCATGTGAAAAGAAAAGGCCAGTGGTTCAGCTCTTGTCAGTTCGATATGATGCATCGCCAGGGCCAGAATGAAACTACACAAAATAAATAGCTAAAGTTTTACATCTCACGCCTTTGCCAAAAAAGACAGCGTGCTAAACCTCTGCAACCCCTTTGTTCTTTTGCCTCATCCACCTCTGATAGAGCAAGAGTGCCTGATTCACTGAAGGTCTGTTAGAAGTCAGATCTCCTGCACCGCCTCGGTTGATTTGTTTGGTGTGATTTCCTGAAGACTGTCAAAGATGTGAGAGACACTTTCAAATTCAGAATTCCAGATTTCCACTCTGGGGGCCAAGTGAGGATTCAGAGAGAGAAGAGGAGAGCCAGCAAATGTTGACACGCTTACAGTAGCTGCCTTCGCCACGAGACGCCTCTGGAATCAAACAGTTATCGCACACACAAAAGAAGCCCTCTAAGTTCACTAAAACCACACTCAAAACAGGCCTTTGTTGTGCTGACATGAGAGATGACTGGATTGTTATTTGTTTTCTAAGCAGGCAGATCGCTCTCTGTCACATCTGCCGCTGGTTGTGATGGAGGAGCTAGCACTCGTATCTCCTCCATGAGTGAGTACTGACGGAGACAAACAAATGAGAGGAAGAAGTTCACTGAGATTAACTTATCTTAGCATCTATCTTCCTCCTTGCTCCTGCTCAGTCTCTCTTTCTTTTTTCTTGACGCTAACACCCACTCTCACACACCCACACATACACACATGCACAGACTCATTCCCCTCTTTCCCCTCCCACACACACACACACACACACACACACACACACCAGTAGACACACACACACACTCCAACATGTACAGAGAAAGACACACACACTTGATCAGCATCAAATACAGGGTGTGCTAAAGTAAATTTAATTACGTCTGTCTGATATGGAGCTTCAGATGAAAGTGGTAGCGCGCAGTGTGAAGCGACGACTGCACAGAAAGGAGCAGGCCCGTGATATTCCTCCTGTAGACTAATCTCCCTTTATTAAAGCCAGGAGGAGAGAGGGGAGGGGGGGAGGGGGAGGGGGAGTGAAAGTGGGGTGTAGTGGAGGGGAGGGGGGTGCCTTTGATGAGATCTCTAACTGTCAGCTACTGTACTTTTCTTCTTTTCCGCTTTGTCTCTCACTTTACGAGGCAAATGAACGGAGCACCTATCGGTACATGCCTGCTTGCTCAAGCAAACATACCCTTGTGCTATCACACTCAGTAATGTGCTCTGAAACTTATCCCTGTTGTTATGGTTGTCAACAATATCTAAAAAAGGACAGAGGCAGCTCCACCGCTCTCTCTCTCTCCCTCTTCTTCTCTTTGTCTGTGTCTCTCTTCCTCTCAGTGAGTGGAGAGTGCGCTTTCTGCCGGTCTGCTGTTTTCTGGCCACTGTAATGGGGGCAGGTGGCCATCAGGTGGCCAAAACAGAAACTGCCACATTTAATAGCACATATACCACAGAAATTAACTCCACATTAACTGTATTTTATTTCCGTTTCATGACACACCAATAATTATGGTTAATAAAATATGTTTTATTTTTATTCCTTTTCCTTTTTCCTGTGTTATTATGAGGTTTCAAGGGCCCGTGATTTGTCATTTGGTCAAGAGTTTGATCACTTTTTATGTCTCAATCATTTGTGCCATCTTGAATGTTTGGCTGCATGCTTTCTTGTTGACAATTCAGCCAATGTATCCTCTTGCCACGCCAAAATGATGAATGTCTTTGTACAATGTCTCAGGAACAGACCATCTTTTTAATAGATAAAAAGTACTTTTGTAATGTGTTAAATTAAAACAAATCAATATATACTTTTGTTAAATGGTTTACAAAACTTCTTCTAATTGGTATTTGTCAGGGTTGATTCTAAATGGAAGCTCCTCACAGTTTGTCCATCCCAAGCTGTTTGACTTCATTTTTTCTTACCAAAGCCCTTCAACTATGTTGTGCAAATGCTCTGTTTGCAGACATTGAGAAAGAAGGGCCTAAACGGCTGTGACAGCCCAGACCCCGACGCAGACGACTCAGTCGGCCACAGCCCCGAGTCCGAGGACAAGTACAGGAAAATAAACGAGGACATTGATCTGATGATCAGCAGACAGAGACTTTGTGTAAGTACCTCTTGTTAAATCCCTCTCACCTTTCTTTCCTCTGTCTCCCTTTCTCCCCCTATGCTTTCTGTCGCTTCGGCCTCGTCTCCTCGTTTTTGTCATCTGTATCTACCACCCCATCTCTCCGTCCCTTCACCTGTGTCTCCCTCCGTCCGTCTCTGTGGTTGTGGGACCTGGCAGGCATTAAGCAAGAAGGAGAACAAAGGCGGCGAAAGCCCGGAGCTCGAGTCTGCTCTCATCCTCACCCCACGCACAGAGGAGAAATACAAACAGATTAATGAGGAGTTTGATCACATGATTCAAACTCATAAGATACCTGTAAGTACTGGGTGACGCTAGCCGCTTCCTCAGCAGGCTAACAAAGTGCTGACTGGCCAGTAACTGTTGAGCTAACCCAGCTAACCACAAATGTTTGCCGCTAGACTAAATACACAAAGTGAGAGTGAGTGTAAGACTAGAATGAAATTATATTGTATACTTACATTGAAAAATAATAGCAGTCCTTTGATTTAGCTTGATTACAGTTGAGGAACGGTCCTCTAATTTAACCTAACTGTAACCGTAACTAGCAGGCATTTTGCTATAGTAATTGCAGACTCTCTCTCATGACAAATTTTAACCTTACTGGGTTCCCTCCTTGAACCTGTTACCCATAATGCCTTGCCTGGCTCTCAGGGGAGGTGTGGTCTGCATGCGCTTTTCCTTTCCTTCACCGAAACACAGCGCTCAGTCAACCGAAAAAACAAGGACATGCAGTGTGGCAATGAAACAGCAGCAGACATTTAAAACGCTTAAGCACATCTCCTACCTTACAAAACTCAATTATCTCTCCTCATTGCGGAAATAATTGAAGGCAAAGTCTTTGATAGCCTTTAACGCATCTTTGTTAATAGACTCGGAAGTGTCAAGACATGTGAATCGCTGGATTTAAAATATATAGTGTTAATTTATCAAAAGAACCAAATCTGTAGCCAGCTGCCAGAGACCTCAAAATAAAGGCTGCTTTCTATGTAAACTGAGCCTGCATTTCATTCAGAAAGCACCATATTGGAATGGTTAGTGCTCTAGACTTACAGAGAAAGAGATAATACCATGGTAGCTCATTTAGAGATGAACAGTAGTGTCTAAGCCGCGGGGAGAAGGGGGATATGTGGTTAGAAGCAAGGCAGGGGTAAGTGAGATGGGATGGTGTGGCGGTGTAGGGTGGGCTTGGGATCGGAGCTGGGTGGGGATGGGGGTTGGAACAGAAGGGGTGGTGGTGTTTTGGGGGGTGGGGGGGTTGACTCTACACACAACAAGTGGCAGTTCAGTGTGTGGTCAGGGTGGCTGCCAAGCACTGGGCCTCTGGATTGCAGGAGACTGTTGAGGGGACTGTGGGGAGAGGCGGAGGAGGAAGATGAGTGAAAACAGGAAGGATGGCACCAGTTAAAGGACAGCTTACAGATGGGGGCCTTACAACCAGCAAAAGGGATGTGTGCGCACGCAAATGTGTGCACAGAGACAGCTCGCCCACTCTTAGAAAACACTGCATAGGGAATTCATGAGGTATAACATCTCCAACAAGGAATCCGAGATGGAAGAAATGACTGAGAGTCTTCAGAAAATAAAACCGAACCAGAGACAGCTCTTGAATGGTTATAAAAGAAAGCTTCCATAGCGTTTGGCTAGCCCACTGCTTCATAAAGTTGCAGTAAAAGCGAAACGTTCACAGCGCCGCAATAAAATAATATTTGGCCTGCAGAAAGAACATTAGCAAAAGGGAGAAAATTGAAGACGACGAAGCAGCGCTATAAGGCACATATCCCACTTCTACTTAAGCCGGGCTGATGATCCCCTGATGCGCTCCCTCCATGGCTCTGAGACACATGGCAATAATTTAGGGCCCTATTTTCTACTTCCTAAAGCTAACATGCAGGATCAACCACTTCCAGGGCACTCCCAAGGTTAAGCCCTTCTGCCAAGTGACACAATAAACATGACAAACTAGACGCCTGGGGCCGACAGGCTACCTCTACTCATGTTGCTGATGAGACTGCTGACAGATCTGAGTCTACCCTTTAATACTTTGCATTAGCCCCATGTGACAGTAAAACAAATGATTCCTAATTACATGCAGTTATCCAGTGTTGAAGCTACTTTAGCAAAAGTAGTGTAGCCTTTTTTTACTGAGGGGAAGACAGACATATGAGGTGCCCTTGACTTTTCCTCTGAGTAAACCATAGCCTTCTGATTTAATCTAACAAACCAGGAAAGTTTTCGGGGGAAATATAAATGAGTGACAGCAACATAATATTTCCTTAGGTTATCCTTTTGCCTTGACAATGAATATGTCACAACATATTTGGAGGAAAACAAGAGTTCCTCTCGTCTTATACTATTTCCATTGTGTAGTCTTCATATAAAATATTTTTGGGGGAAACTGTGTATGTCGCTGTTTGTCCAGGAATTACAAGAGATAATTTATCACCGTAGACTCCACTGGCTCAAGAAGGAGTAAACAAAAACATATATAAATACATTTATATTATCTAACATCCAAAGAAGCCTACCAAATCAAGATCAAGTTTGAGTGACAAACAATTGCCAACCCATACATCATCTCCTGGGCAAATGAGTACCTCTGAGAGGAGTTTTCTAGGCGCCTACCCTTTTAATTTCAGTGCTCCCCTCCTAATTCCATGCTCACTCGTATTTTTAGTTCTTGTTTTAGTTGTTCTCTGTACAATTCATCTATGCATGTCTATTGTTAGTTGTCCATTTGTCCTTTTGAACTTGGCTGTCTGTCTTTTTTTCTTTTGTGTTCGACTGCTTTGACTGTAGAAAGTCAAACAATTTAAAATTCCTTTGTGTTCCTGGAGTGTTTCTGAGTTGTCATGTCTCTTTCTCTCTTTCTGTGTCCATTTCTTTTCTTGAAAGCCTTGTTGTACTTTTTCACTCACTGCACTCATTAGTGTCCTTAGTCTAATCTAACTTCTCTGTATCTTTTTTCCCCTCTCTCTCTCTCTCTCCCTCTCTCTCTCTCAGCAGGCCGTGCCCCAATCGAACTATGACATGTCTGTGTCCATTCCCATTAGCAACCAGAACAATCTCATTTACAGCCATCCTGGTGGTTCCCTTGGCAACCACAACCTGTTGCCACTTGCGCACCATGGCCTACAGAGAAACAGCATGTCCCCCGGAGTTACACACAGACCCCCCAGTGCAGGTAACCCAGAAGGGCATCACCCGCACTCATGCACCCATGTACACGCTGTTATCCCATCTGTCTATCTGTGCCCTTGTCTGTCTAGCTAATGGACTCACACGTCTACCCACAATATGTCCCCTTAAGGCAGCAACTAATTCCAAAGTCCATCCTATATATAGTCACATATTGCCGGCTCAGTATTTTGTTCAAACTAAGGTAAACATTTAATATCATAATAAATCCCTGCCCTGAATCTTGATGATTTAGTGTTCTAAATATGGGATGTTTTGCACTATGTATAGGATTTAAGTTGCCGGTGACATAAGCAAATCAGGTCTGTTGGTTTGTTATTGTTGTCCAAAGGCCTTTTTCTTTCCCTCTGGACTGAAGGCTGCTGCCCACACCCTCACCCTGTCATTACAACTGGATGTTAGAGGCGGTAGCACAAACTCAATATGAGTTTTGGCGCTCATAGCATCCACACCAAACCGCACACGTTCTCGACCCTCCCACTCTTCCACCTCACATGGCTTAAGAATAATAATGTATCATTTTTCTTGGACGGTAGCTTAATGTATGCACTCACAGTGTCCAGTTGCTTAGAGTGTTACTGTTTGAGTGGAAAGGAGTATAACTTTTGGTATCCATACACGCATGGGCGTAATTTCCACTGGGGACAGGGGGGACATGTCCCCCC